TTCAAGCCAGATTGCAAAAGAAGTGATGCTTTTTAGTGGCATATTTCAACCTGCCAGAGTCTAAATGTTGAACACAGGAAGCACTCAGTTTTTTAATCAAATCGGTAAAACTTTTATTCTACTTAACAACTCAAATAATGTCCCCACCCTGCCCATAAACCAACCTCAATATTTTGAAATTTTAGCATCCAGATGCTTAGAATTGGGGACTTTTTTTTATTATGGACTATTCCAAATTCATTAATGAATCAGAACAAATTTACTTCAAATGTAGTATGATCAAAACAGAGAAGCAGATATATAACCAGCCATCAAGTCACATATATATGTGTATATATTTGTATATGTGCATTTCCATACACATATATATACATCATATAGTAGATACATATACAATATATATACACACACATATATATACACACTATATTTTCATTCAACATACACACACAATTTACATATCCTGCTCCATACATATAGTCATGTCTCTGTACATAACAAAAGCAAGCAATAGCAATTCTAACATGTTACCATTCTACACAAAATTTAGGTTTCTTGTTTCATTTCCACAATCTTCTCATAGAAAGGTTCAATTCATTATCTTATATTCATCTGTCATATTAGTAATATATAACTATAGGACACACTGTTTCATTCTCTCATGTCCATTTCTGGGACACTGTTTTCCTTACCCTGTAAAACACCATTTTTTCTTCTCCTCCGTTTTTCTGCTCAAGGGAGATTGTAGTTTTTCACAGAATCCCAAGGCCCCTGAAACATCAAAATGGAACTGGGGCAGAGGGAATGTATGGAGTTACTGGAACTTTTAAATACAAAGAAATTTTGAGTTTTTGGAAGTAAGCAATGTCCCATAATTTTTTTTTTTACCTTTTTAGCACAAAATGCATATAATACTAACAAGGAGTATTTCAGCTTCAATTAGCAGTTGTGAAAATGTTTTCTATATGCAATGTAATAAATGACTGACTTTCACAGAAGGGCCCTTCACCATTTATGGCTGATGACCTCTTACGACCTCAGCAGTTATATTCTTTGCAGTAGCATTATCAGGAAGAAGGCAGTCATAGGAACCTTCAGGTAACTGAGACTTCAAGTCAATCAGTTCATAAAATTTATATATTTATTTATCCAAAGCATGAATTGGCTGTAAGGTGGTTCATACCTAGCATCCCAAAAGTCCATTTGATGTGTCTTTGACTTAAATATCCCCTAGATAATGAGCATTACGGATATGAGAGGGCCTCCTGAATATATTGTACTGAGTCAGAGAGAAGCTGGTTTTCCTGAAGAGTTCCTCAACCATTTTTTTTCAGAGTAAACAGGTTTCATTTACATTTATAATTGTTAAGATCATTTGATTTGTTCTAGAAAATAAAAAGAACCTTGGAGTATAATATAGTTTATGGTTCCCGTAAAATCTTCCGGATTTTATCCAACTTCATATACCAAACCTTACCTCAGATACCAGGCACTTCTGCATTTCTGGCACGAGCAATTCTGGAGATAAATCTGCAACTTAGAGGTAGATTTAACCAAACTGATAGAGAAGATGAGTTTGAAATAAGAAATGGATTTGAAAACTAACTTGGTAGTTTCTTCACTATGTGATTTTAGTCAGTTTTTTTAAGCTGGCCTATTAAGAACACATTAAAGCATTGGTCATAATAAACACTCAATCTGTGGTAGATCTGGCAATAATAATTTAGTGGATTTGTTTTAAATATCCCTTAGTCCATATGGTTGTGGTACTAAGAAAATGCAAATTAAAACAGTGAACATTTAAAGAGTAAAGACTGTATAATCTTAGAGGTAAATGCATCTTATCAGGATTTCTTTGTTCCAATTTATGAGTAAGAATAATAAACTTTATATAAAGGAAAACAATTTTTTGTTGGTTATTGTCCTGTTTTTCTTCTTTGCTTTCCTCTATTGAATGTTGATCAGCGCCAGAAGCTAGACTAAGCATTACTATAGAGTGTCTCCTTTAATCTTCATAAAAGCTGATCGAGCAGGCATTATTATCCATTTTACATATGACAAAATTGAAACTTAAAAGTTAAATAACTGGGCTAGGACCGTTTTTCAGTAAGTGCTTGCCTAGCAAGCATGAAGTCCTGACTGAGTTCATTCCCAGAACTGATAAAAGTAAAAATAAAAAAAAAAAATTTAAAAAAAAATGTTAACAAACTTACTCAGGAACACACAATGATTAAGGTAAAGACTTAAAATGGAGTGTTTCTCAATTCAAAGACCAAAATCTTCACTTTTTCCTTCCAGGTTCATGTCATAGGAGAACAGAAAGTAACAGTGAAGATAACTTGAAATTTTTCTTGTCACTATAATTTTTTTCTTCATTTTTAAAGGTTTTTATTATCAATAATTATGATCTCTGTAAACAATTTTGTATGGAATATGTTTAGTATGAGAAAACATATTAGAGAAGTATGGTTACACCCAGCATAGTTTTGTTTTCTTTCATTAACTAGACCATGATAACAAGTCAGCCATCTATTCACAAGAACCAGTGTGTGCTAAAACACAGGCACTTTGTAACCTAACGCTACAATAGCCCTAAAAGCAAGCATCAGTTTGAGAAGTCACTGGTTTATACTTATTTATCTCTTCACCTAAATCCCACAGGGCAACAGAGGAGCTGCCTTCTTTCCTGAGGTCAAGGCTGGTGAGACAGGAAACCTCATGGCCTGTGCTTGAGCTCCACATTAGTTGAGGCAGGATGATGTGGCATAAGGAAAATATACTCACCCCTTTTTGTCATTTCCCACTGCAAAATCTGGTATAAAGCAAACAACTCTAATTAGATTCTTCGTTATTTGTATGCCAGTAATTCTTATTTATAGGTAACAGAAACGCTGTGCTTTCAGAATCAGGTAGCTTTCCTTTCTGTCAGAGATAGGCAATCTATATCATCTCATTGATTTACCCACCAACTAATCCATTGATTTTTCCCCCCATCTATAAAACCAACAACAATGAAAAAGTATATACATCCAATGGAAATATATTATAGAAATTACAAGTCGGCTATGAATAAAAATCATTCATCAAAATATAATACCGATATTTGCATTGTCTCAGTAGCCTTTCTTTTACATTTTCCAACAGAATGTTTCACAGTCTGTTCTTGAAGTATAACAAAATCCATGAAAATGATATAACAAACTACTTGGTAAGAGATGAAATGACAGAAGAAATAAAAGCATTTATATTTTGTGTGCATTTGGCTTCTCTTTCAACAGTTCATGATTTTCTTTTCAGTTTCTTTTCAGTCTCCTAGCTGAAAAAGATCCAATCTACCACCACTTGTGAATGTGAAGGCCAAGACATTGGAAATATACACTGAAATCCTGAGCTGGAAAAGCAAAGATAGAGAAGTATAAATAAATAAATTCAGTAAAGCAGATTTGAATCTCTATCTTTGAGGGGAAAAAAGGAATTAACCAAAAGGTGTAAGATTCTAGAAGTTAAAATGTTATCCTCAGAAATGGTGACTAACCAAATAGGTAAACTGAATGAATATGTTGGCTGATATATGACCAACCAACCATTATATAGATATTTCAGTTTTGCTCAAGAAAAACAGGGGTACTTTACTAATTTCAAAAAGACTTTATTTAAATTTCAGTCTGAGTTACCATTTAAATTATAAGACAAAGATCACATCATAATGGATAAAAAAAAATTGTGTCTTATTTTAGGAAACTGAACCTTCTAAATGATCCCTAATTACTAAATATCTCATTAAGCAGTCCAGAATTTTTAAGCTGAAATAACCCTGAAAGCATCATATGTCAATTCTGTATTTATTATTCATATTGGATAGAAAACTCTACATTGTATGAAATTATCAAAAGCTAGATAGGATTTTAATTGTTCAATCATAGAAAATGTCTTCCAAGTTATTATCGCAGAATTAGAAGACATTAGGACATAACCAGCTTTCATAGAATGTAAAACCCAATACCTACCATTTAGAAGCCTAGTAAAGCTAAGAAACAGTACTGAAGGAATTGACAGGAAAGTCCAATAATAGAAATGTCATAACAGTAGGATCTTTGGATATTGGTAATTAATTGGACTTGTGGAAGAGTGTAGAATAACACTCACAATTCCAATTTAGGGGACTAAGATGATATTTTCCAAATCAGATCACACTCTAGAAAAATACTGGAAACCAAACATCATAATTCATTTGGGGAAATACTTTCAAGTCCACTGTTACCAGTAAATGTGAAGAGGTAGGATGGGCAACTGTTATCTATCAATCAAGATCTCAGAAGGAAAGTTTGTGCTTAAGATATGAGTGTGAAGTCATTATCATGTGGGCAATATTTAATCATAGAAATGGATACGATTTGAGAAGAAAAGAGGTCAAGAAAAAAAAATAAGACCATCAACAAAAATACTGGAGAATAGTAGCATTTAATAAAGTAGCACTAAATGTGTGTTTTAGTCAGCTTTTTCACTGTTGTGACCAAAAGACAGAACAAGAACAATTTTAAAGGAGGAAGTTTATTTAGGGGGGCTCATGTTTTCAGAGGTCTCAGAGAGAGAGAATGCGCAACTACACTCCACTCACCAGATACAAAATATATACCCCAAAGGCACGCCCCCAAGGCTCCATCTCTTCCAGCTACACCCTACCTGTCTTGAGTCTCCACCAGGGGATTAATTCACTGATTGAGTTAAGGCTTCATAACCCAATCATTTTACCTTTGAATGTTCTTGTATTGTCTTACATGTGAGATTTGCGGGGACACCACATCTCTAGACTGTAACAAAAGGAAACTAAAAAGAAAGATGAGCTAAAGAAGGACACAGAAAAGTAAAGCAAGAAGGCAGGAAGATACTGAGAGAGTAATAATGCAGAAGTCAAATAGAAAAGAAAAATTTGCAAAATAATGTAGTAATTATCTTAATCTATCAGAACTGCCATCAAAAAGCACACTAGACTGGGTGGCTTTAACAATAAAAATTTATTTTTTCACCATGCTGGAGGCTGGAAGTCAAGAGCTGATATTTGTAGACTTGGTTTCCTTTGAGACCTCTCTCTGGCTCTCAGATGGCTGTCTTCTCACCATCCTCACTTGACATTTCTCTGTGTGCATATCCTGGATGTCTCTTCCTCTTCCTATAAGGACATCATCAGTTATATTGAATAAGCACCCCACTCTGATGACTTCATTTAACCTAATTACCACTTACAGATCCTCTCTCCTAATACAGGTACCTTGGGGGCTAGGGTTTCAGGATATGGATTTGGGGAGGGCACAGTTCAGTCCATTACTGTATTCAAACATATTTTCTGATTGTTTTTATAAAATAAAATCAAAATTCTTTAATATGATGTAAGGATCATTTACAATGTGGCCTCATTCAACCTTCTACTGCTATCTCTCATCACTTTCCTTACATATTTTTCATATTTATTCCAATGGGCCATCTGCTTACTCCTGATTCTGTCTTGTGTTTTTTTGTACTTCTGTACCTTTGAGGGTCATATTAAGTATCTACATGAGTAAAATCTAACTTCTCTTTGAAAACCACCTTCAAATGCCACCTCTTTTTAAAAGTTCTCTTTATATTTCCTGGCATAAAGAGAGCTTCCCTTTTCTGTGAGTCATTAGCATTTTGTTCCTATGTCACAAAGCACTTATTAAACTCAACTATAATTACCCCCTCGCCAGAATATGAACTGTGTACCAACAACTTACATCATATTCATCATTTAAAAGATTTGTTCTTTAGCACTGTTCCTGATCTATGCCAAATGTTTATCAAATGTAAGACGATGAATACATGATTGATAAAAATAATAACTCAATGCTAAGCTTTCTACAATCAGTCTTTTCTCTAATATAGATATTATTAAATAGAGCAAATATTCTTTTCAAATTTTTTGTATAACAGCAGTATTTAACTGTTCTAAATAGTCACAGTGCAAAACACAAAGCGAACTAGTAAAAAAGAAACAGAATGGTAGAGATGGAGAAAATGTCAAAGATATTAAGGAAAAAAAAAGTGATCTGAACTGAATTGGAACTTATGTATTAAGGGAGAAGTAAGACAAATTACATGCTGAAAAATAGAAAAGACCTAAATTATATTATTTAGAACTTGGTCCTGTTATACTATCCTGACAGTGAACATTAAATGTGATATATTTTAGACACAAGATTTTGCCTGGATGGATGACACATGTCTGTTTTTGAATTCCTCAGTAAAAGAGACAAGTAACAGTCCATCATCACCCAGTTTAGCAGAAGCCAACCATTCTCTGTACTTTTAAAACAGTTACCAAGATTTAAATATATATATATATATATATATATATATAAAATACTTTGTTAATTAGCAATGAAATTAATTTATGCTTCCAAGAATGGACATTAGTGTTTCCATATTACTGAGCTAATAACTAAAAGATTTAACAATAAAGGAAATATCCAAAAAATAAATAAAATAAAGGAAATATCTAAGGTAGATTCCAAGGAATTTGTCTCACTCAGTTTCTGCTTTGGGTCTCAGGGAGCACAATTTTCTTAATTCCCAAATCAGTACGTGGCTGTAAATAAAGGTTCTTAGAGATGCATTAATTCTCTCCAGTAAAAGGGCAGTTAGTTACTTTTCATACCATCTGACTTCCCATCTAGTCCATTATCTCTTATATTATGACCTGAAAAACTGAGACAAGTTTAAAATCATTAGCCAGTTCTCCTATTAATTCTTTCCGTTTCTTTGGTTATTTTAATGATACAACATTGAGGTTTATCCCATGGAATTTACTTAAACCATGATCATTTGCACTACAAGTTCTGTTCAGATTATTCTGAACTCCAAGCAAAGTGTTACATATCAGTTCCTTGTTTTTCTCAAGGCTAAACAAATTTGTCAATAGTGATTTTCTTCACAGCTTCTGAACTAAAGTTGGAAAAACATAAGTCAGATCACTGACTCTCCTGGTCTAAATACTCTTACCATGTCTAGAAGACACTGCAGACTCTCTCAATACCTTTCTGTCTTGCTGCTGCTCCTACCAATTCCTGCCTACCTTCCTCTTCTCCAGGCTCATGGGAAGAGCTCTTCTAAGATATCATGCTTATTCGTACTTAGAGCTTTTTCATTTGCTTTCAACACTGCTTCTTCCTTCATTTAATTAAAATCAGTGGCTCAATATAACTCCCACCTTAAGGAAAAAAATGCCAATTACTCTTTGGGTAACACCTTTCCTAAGACCACAGATATGCACATATCTCAATTTCTATTACATATATCTGCTTTTATTTAGTACTAATCACTAGATGCAGTCATATCACATATGCCCTACAACATAATTATTTTAATATTTTTTATCTGTCTCTGACTCTGTAAGAAAAGTAGGGCATAGAACAGTGACTAAAACATGGTAGATACTTAATATTTTAATAGATAATAGAATTAATAAAAGCATTTATGCTTCCAGGCAAATAACTTATGAAAATTTAGTAGTGGTCATGCTCCTTAAACATCAGAGGTTTGTACAATATGCTATGAAATTTGATAGTTTTCAAACTAGTAGGTAGAGAAAGTTCTTAACACATAAAAAGCTAGCATCTTGTTGAAACAAAGTGAAAAGGCAGCATTAACAAAAACTCAGCAAAAATCCAGAAAACAGCAAAACTATTGCCTTAGCCACAGTTTTTTGAAATATATTCTATTCTGCAGCTACATAAATGTGTAGAACTACAAGATCCAGTAAACTAACTGGTTTTAGATAGCAAAACCATGGCCATGATTCAGTACAGAACTCCAAAGTTGATGTTGGCGAGTCCTCTTCTGCTATTTGCATGGTTGGAAGTAAGTTTTATGACCTTTTGGAATTTCTAATTAGTATCAACTTGTGGTTTAAAATGCAGAATTCACTAGATGACCATTCAACTCTTATCCCATCCTAGTGTTGTCAGATGAGCAGGAATGTGTGGGAATCAAAGCATCACAACAAGAATTTATTTTCCCTCAAGGGGAAATCAAATTGAACATGTGGATGAAGGTATACTGACTTTGTATCTGTCCATTTTCTGTTGTTAATAACTTAATACCACAGATTAACTTTTAAGGAAAAAGGAGATTTTTTTTTTTTCTTAATGATTCTGGAGGTTCAAAGTCAAAAGAGTGCATCTGGTTCAAGTATCCTTGCCGGCAGAGTCAGTCCTAAGGTGGCTCAGGATATCACTCAGCAAGAGACAGACAGCGTGTGTTTGTGTGTGTGTGTGTGTGTGTGTGTGTGTGTGTTACTGTCTTCATAAAGCCTCAAGTATTCAATCATGGGGACTCCATCTGATTCATTTATATAATATTAATTTCCAAAAGACCCACCTTTAAACACTATAATCAGATCAAATTTCTACCCTCTTCATACTTCATATTGAAGATAAATTCCAACTTTCAGAATGGAAAAATCATAAATTGGACCACAATAGGCCCTATATCTAATGATATAAATCTTGCTTTTTTCTCAGCTCTCTATTTCCGTCCTCACCACCAATGGGATCAGTGTTTTATTTCCCAAGGCTGTCACATCTAAGGCAGCTAAGAACTGCTGCTATTCCTTTTGTCTTTTGACCTATTCAGAACAAAGGGCAATGCCCACGTGTATTCCAAAACAATCCCACCATGTGTCTCACTATAAAATTTGATGTTGCACAAATTACATTGCCTGAAATAATCTATGTATCCACTTTAAAATACTAGAGAGCAAAATAAGCTTAAAACAAACACAAGTAAAAAGTAATAATGAGGAATTAAAATCAAAAATCAATGGAATAGACAACAGTAAAGGAAAAAAATCAGTGCAACCAAAAGTTGGTTCTTTGAAAATATCAATAAAAATGATAAAATTCTACACAAGTTAAACAAGGAAAGGGGACAGAAGACACAAATAACCAGAATCAACAAGCAAGAGAAGGATAATCACTTTTGACACATCTGAACACTATTAACAATTCTACACACACATTCTTTATTACATAGACAACATGAACAAATTCTTTAAATTGCAACTACTAAAACATACTCAAAGATTAGTAGATAACCTGAATATCTCCATATCTATCAAAGAAATCAAATTAGTATTTTAAATCTTACAAAATAAAATTTCCAGGCCCAGGTAGTTTCATTGGTTAACTCTTATAAAACATCTTAGGAAGAAATAAACTAGTTCTATACAATCTCTTTCAAATACAGAAGAAGGAATAATTCCAAAATGTTTTTATCAGACCCACATTACATGCTACAGTTTGCACTCATGTCCCCAAACACCCCTGTGCTTGCCCCTCACCCCCAGCATGTAGCACTATGAGAGGTGGTAGAACCCTTAGGAGGTAAAGCCTATTGAGAAGAATTAAGGTCATACATATCCTCATCAAGGAGGAAAAAGAAACTCACCTATCTCTTTCTTTGCTTTCCGGCTGTCATAAGTGAGCAACACCATATGCTCCCACCATGATGTATTGACTCATCCTAGGCCCAATAACAATGAAGCCATCTGGCCAAGAACTGAAGCCCCCAAAACTTTACACCAGAATAAAACTTGCTTCTTTTTAATTTGATTACTTAGGTATTTTGTTACAGTAATGGAAAGCTTACTAACACATTATCCAAATAATGCCAAAACCAAATAAAGTTACTCTAAGAGAACCAGAACTCTTATGAACATAGGCACAAAAATACTTAAAATGTTAATGAATCAAATGAAGCAATATGTAAAAAGATAATACATCATACCAGGAATCAAGGCTGATTCAACATTTATAACTCAATTAGTGGAACATATCACATTACAGACTGATTAAGAAAACATATGATCATATGAAGAATTATAGAAAAACTTTTGTAAAAACCCACAACCTAATTATGATGAAAAACTTTCTAAACCTAAGAATGTAAATAAATATTAAACACCTAGTAAAATATTAGGAGATATATGTACAGATACTTTGTATTATTAAATACTTTCCATCTAATATTAGGGGAAAAGGAGAGAATATTATCTTTCTTCATTCCTTTTTAATATTTTATTGGAAGTCCCAGTTTGTTAAATCAGACAAGGGAAAAGAAAATAAAATTATACAAAATGTTACATTAAAATATGCA